TGTTCTAAATCGAACTAAACATTAAACTAATTTCAATGGTACAGTATATTTTTCAAGTAGTGGTACTCCAAACTTTCGCAGCTCTTATAAATTCCCTTTTCACACCATCAATAGGTAAACTCCCCCTCCCCCCCTCCCCCCCCGAGCCAAACGGCACTTACACCACCTCTTTCCTAAAATCCGCCAATCAAATGCTAATTTTTATGCTAATTTCTCTGTCAGAACACCTTGTTTGCTCGCACACAGTTTAAAGGTCCGCTGTCTGAGCGTGGTTGTGTTTCGCTAAATTCTCCTGTTTGATGAGTACTAGGTGCCTCGGTGAATGTATATGCTCTGACTTTAACATAGCTATTTCTGTGACCAGTTACAAGCTAATCACTCAGCTATTTCAATGCTAAATTCTATGCTAATTCCTTTGTCATGGGGTACCTCTGCGGATGTGTATACTTTAACTTAGCTATTTCAATGAGCCATTTCAATGCTAAATTATATGCTAATTCCTTTGTCAAGGCGCTTGGTGTTTTTCTTCTCACACAGCTTAAAGGTCGTGATCTAAGCGCTGTCCTCCAGACAGTCTCGTTCCTTCACCTGATGAAGGCCGCTTGTGTTGTGGCCGAAACGTCGTGATTTTTTTTATTTTATTTTCACCTACGTGATTTTACCCAATAGAACCAAAGAGTATACAATACACATAATCCGTGATTTGATCCCATCTGTAAAGGATGTGATTCCTGATATGCAATACCCGGGTGTCTACGAACTGAGTTGTGGCTGCGGCAGCAGTTACATTGGGGAAATGAAACGACGTGTCGGACCGCGTTCGCGAACACAAGGCAGATCTGAAACACAGTAGGACCAATACCTCTGCCGTTGCTGATCATTGATTTAACGCAGTGGGCTCACACGAAATGGACTTTTCCAAGACGAAGGTACTCTGCAAACCCACCGGCTATTATCAGAGATTTGTTCATGAAGCCATCCAGATATATAAACAGACAACTTCAACCGAGATGGGTACAAACTGAGCAATCATTGGAAGGACGTTATTAACCAGGTAAAGTCTTAACTTACTGTGATGTTTCCATCCTACCTGCCCATGTCAGCTGTTACTTCCTACTCCTTGGTGTCTCTCTGTGCCTCTCTCGGATCTATCTCCTGGTGACTCAGGTGCCGCTACGGGGTCCCAATTTCTGCCCCGCCCCCTCCCTCCTTCTGTCTCCCCCTTACAGCCGATCTCTCAGATCTCTCCCCCAGTAACTCTAGTGCTGCTGCGGGGTTATACTTTCTGCCCCGCCCCCTCTCTCCCCCCCTTCCCCCAGTGACTCAGGTGCTGCTGCATGGTCTCTCAGCAGATCTCTCCCCCAGTACAGCTGCGGGATCCCACTTTCTGCCCGCCCCCTTCTCTCTCCCCCCTACCGCCAAGGCCTACGATATAACCTCGTGCCACGGCATCTCTCTTGCCTACTTCAGCATTTTTTTCTTTCCGTAGTTGCCTCACCTGATGACGATTGCTTGTGTTGCGATCGACACGTCGTGATCTATTATTTTTCTACCTATGTGACTTCACCGAAAGAACCATAGAATATGGATTTCTGCAGTCACGAAAGCTTCGACACCCACGAGAAAGAAGTTTGACTACGTGCGTGATCCACCAGCCCTCGTCACCTCAATGGAGTTGAAGTACAGGCCACGTGCGTAACCACTACCCTTTTGTGATAACCATCCAGTGCTTTGCTCCTGTGGTGAGCATCACTCCCATTGTTGCTGTAAGCTGACTGCTGCCAACTGCCAAGTTGCATCGTTTATCAGCAAAGATCTCGCATATGATTCTTATGGCGGTACTCCAGGGTACCAAATAATACAAAATGGCCGAGGCAAATTAAATTTTATTTCTGGGACACTTTTTTTCCAGGGGTGTACTTAACTCCGCAACTGGGGTACCAATTAATCAGATATCAGTGCTACTCCGCGATGTCGAAACGCCATACATTAGCATAAAAACATCCGCTTTCGAAAAATTCAACTTTGAATAGTGCATCGTGTACAGCTCGTCGAGATGAGTCGATTGCCGCATCGCCGACCATCAACAGACTCAAAATGACTGCATCACGAACATCATGCGAGAGCCGGCGTACAATGGTACCCCGGGGTACCGCCATAAGGTTCATATAGCCTGTAAACAAACTGTTGGGGAAGTACTGTTAGCGAGTAGCGCCTATGAAGGGTGGCACGGCGCACGAGGGGGTGGGAGGCTCAGCACCACGCCGTTTTGTCAACCAAATGACGATGTTTACACACCGCACCATGTACTTAATTGATGCTGAGTTGACCTAGGGGAGACCCCAGGACCGGTTCAGATAATCTTAACTGGTGTTGGCCGTGAGCGGGGATCAAACTTGGGTTGCCGAGTTCGTAGCGCAATGTGCTAACCTCTGCACAGCACACAGTCTGAGCTAAACACAGCTGGTACCATTCATCAATGAGTTCACTCAATTATAAGTCCTCCTTTACCACATCTCATCTCCCTAGCCTGTGTTAGGCTCCGTCTCTCTAGCCAGCTAAACAGAAGCTGCTTGGGCATCCGGTGGCTGGACATGTGGGCTAAATGACCCAGCCAAATCAGCCTCGCCTGCTGGCAGCTCACTACGTCCATTACTATCAAGTCTCCGAGCTTCAACCGTAATACAACCTGGTTAAATCGATCTCGAACATTTCAAGCTGGCACACATGTTCAGTGCTGCCAAACAATATTTGGAGCTTTAGGTGGTGGCTGGCTTATACACTGCCCAGTGACTGGGACTCCTCCACCCTGTAGACCAATACACGGTAACTCAAGAAGTTATCGGGGTTTGACGACAGTACATAAGCAGGTGTTTCGCTTTGGAGGGGCTGATGGCAAGGTATCACCACCTTTTATAGCAAGCTCCTGGTGCAAATCAGGTGGTGTTCTTTTGAGCTTCATGACAGTTTTCTGTCGGGGTTGCCATGTGATGTCACGCAATGCAAAATCTACACATGCTGGGTGGCAGAATTGGTTGATCGGTGCCACACGAGGCCTTGCCGGCATGGCGAGTGCCGGCCCGGGGTAGCTCCCGCCTCTGGTAGACCATCGTGCGCATCATAGCTGGTCTCGGTTAGCAACTCCTCCGGGGGCGCGTCGCGTGGCCCTCTAATACGCCACCGGGCCTGGCTGCAGACTCGATGGGCCCGCCTTCGGCAGGTCTCCATCTCTTCCTCAGTGTCCTCATCCCCTGTATAGAACAGTCCTTCCCCCGAGCACGGCCCTCCTCCACCTGGTGCCCGTACCTGGTTTGCCCAGCTCGTTGGCATTCGAACCCAAAAGGTGTGGGTTTTAGCGGGACACGCCTCCCCGTTTCTCCGCATGTACACTCTTCAGTTCGCCCTCTGCCTTCCCTTTCCAGGTTTCCGCCCACCCGGGCCCGAGTTTCCAGATTCGCTACAGAACAGGGAGGGGTCATGTGGGACTCGTCAGCGCCGTTCATATCACCCAGACTTTCCCATTACAAACTCACCCCTCCTCCCTTAAACCCCTCCACCGCCCGTTAACTTCTAATTAGCTTTTGAATTATTCCCAGCGAGAAGCAGTCGTTCTGACAGGCTTTGGACCTGGCCATTTCCTTCATTCTGCTGGGGAACACCACGTGTCTGATCAACATTGAGCCTCGTACATTAGAAAAACACAGTCAGGCCTCCAACTTGTGAGTGACTTTCCTTAAAGACTTTTGTCTTGGGTGTGGGGAATGACGGTCCTAACAAGTGGCAGAGAGAGAGATCCATAAGCAATGTGTTTCACATTGAGCTTGCCCCTACGAAGCAAACAGGGGGATTTACAAAGGTTCCTTTGTGTGTTTGTGTGCTTATCTACATTTGCATGGCTGCGTTATCTGCATTTGCATGGCACCGTTGGCACATGCGGGTGTGTGATGATGACGTTAATCATGTGAGAGCTGTGCCTCCTGGGGGGCGCACCTGCCCTGCTGCCCACATTAGCAGGTAAACGGTGCAGGCTTGAGCACAGGTCATGGTCCGCTCGGTGGTCTATGGCTCCACAGACGTTTGCCGCGGAGGTGAGCGGAGTGTATCGGTTGCGTCAACTCTCAGCCGTTCTTCAGTAAAAACTTGAAAATGTATCAAACTCACAAAAGTATGCAATCAGTCAACTACAATTAACGATATGTACACAGTTTGCAGAGATTAAAGGAATTCTCTTGAATGCGATTACTCTCCGTTAAATCGCCGGTGTGTAACCCAGCCTCTTACCGACCCCAGCCGGACAGCAGACCGCCCGGGTCTTCTCCCTGGCCATGGGCTCCCAACACTCCTCCTACTTTTAATCCCTCCCACCCCAACACTGCTCGTCATGTAGGCCACCCGTCTCCCCCTAGCCCCTCCACATGAAACCTTGCCTCATTTACTTCAAAATTCTGTAGCCCTGGGTGGCCAATTTGAGAGATATCGCAACTGCGAGGTGCGCTGCATCGTGTCAACCTTGCTGCGAACCCTGTTAACTTCCCTCTCTTCAGTAACCCCGCCACCCCACTGTTCTCCAACTTATCGCTGGCCCCCTCGCTGACGCAACCTCAATGCTATTCTAAGTGCTGCCCTTATCCGTCGCAGCACCGCAATGACTCCCAAGTCAGTGCGACGATGTCACGGTACCTATTGACTTATTTTAGGTTTATAAAAACGGTCACTGCATCGCCCACTCTCAGATGCGCTTCTGCGGCTGTCTGGAACGCTCTTCCTTCCCATATTAGTAGGCACTGGAGGTACGAACTTTTAAATCTAAATTGAAACTAATTTCTTTAGAACTGCCTTTTGTGTTTAGTTTGTCCTTCCCCGTACCTCCAATTAGCACGGTTGGCTACGCACGGTGCAAAAGAAGTTCAACATACATATGTTCTTTGGTTCTTTCGGTAAAGTCACGTAGATTCTTTCGGTAAAGTCACGTAGGTTCTTTCGGTAAAGTCACGTAGGTATAAAATAAAATATATATCTACGTGACTTTACCGAAAGAACCAAAGAGTATGGATTCCTGCAGTCACGACAGCTTCAAATCAAGATCATACATGTTTTTGTTATTCACACACTACTAAATAATTTTTGTTACATTAATTGGCTTATTTTATGGCTCAATACAACTGCACGTTACTTGACGGACCGAGGCTGACTTTGAGAAATATGTCCAGGGTTGGTCAGTGGAACCTGCATTAACCCCCAACACCTCCAAGGTGGTTCTTGCAAAGCACGTGGGGGACATTTGTTGCATTTGTATGCCAAATGCAACAAATGTGCCTTTGCCAGAGGGGGAGGGGGGGGGTGTAAATCTGAAATAAGAATGTACACAATGCTTAACGTAGCGTCGTGTACGTATACACAGTGCACATGCACATTCTGTCGGCATGTCTAAGACGTCAGCCCAGATGGAAGTTTTGATTTCTTCTTCTTGGTTTTGAGTCCAAGAGGTAAAGCCAGCCGGAATGCCGTCCTGTATGTGCATAGTGATGTAACACAGTGATTTATATAGCATCGTGATGTAGCAAACATACATGTAGCATAGTGATGTATGTAGCATCGTGAGGTAGCTAACATACATGTAACATAGTGATGTATGTAGCATAGTGATGTATGTAGCATAGTCATGTATGTAGCATAGTGATGTAACAAACATACATGTAGCATAGTGATGTAACATGATAGAAGTAACAGTGAAATATGTAGCATAGGGATGTATGTAACATGGTGATACATGCAGGATAGTGGTGTATAATGCAGATATTTAGCGTGTTTGTGTATGTGCGATATGCAGCTGATAGATTTATGAAGAACTAGTGGTAAGTATCTGGCGTTGCCCGGGCGAAAAAGACAGGCATACACATCGACTTACACACAGGCATCGACCCATGCACGCAGAAACTTACACACACACATAAGGACTCACACAAACAGACATCGACTTTAGACACACACACATGGAGTTACACACAACAACAACCGCCATTCGCCACTAAGTGGCGGTGACGTCACCACGACGCTTGTGCCAGGCCATGTGCACCTTGAGGCCACGTGGCCTCAAGTTACACACACACATCGACTCGCACACACATATTAACCTACACACACACATACACACATTGCCGTACACACATCGACTGACACACATAGACTCACAGAAAAAATACACATCGACTCACCCACGCACATAGAGCCACACACACATGGACTGACACACACACATGGACTTACGCACACACACACACACGTACACTCACACAACAACCGCCATTCGCAACTAAGTGGCGTTGACGTCATCACGATGCTTGTGGAAGGCTATGTGCACCTTGAGGCCACGTGAAGTGTCGAACACCCGCTGGCAAGAGGCCACGGGGCAAACACAGGTGCCACGGGTCGACTGAGATGACTGGCTGATGCACGAGCTGTGCCCCCTACTGTGCCAACTTGCTGTGCATTAGCCACCCGGCGCTTCGCTCGTTGTTGTGAGCGTCGCTCCTCCGCCCTCCGTTGTTGTTGAAGGGCGACTGCCTCCAACTGCCCAGTAGCGTCCTTCACGAGCATCCTCCACTGAGGCCGGTCTTGACACCGCTGGTACCAGTCATCGGCAAGTCCACTCAGCTCCACATCCTCCTGTACCACATCACTCCATCTTGTCTAGCTCGTGCCGAGACCGTTTAACCCTCTCGATCCGACCGAACAAAATCCTTGCAGTCACGAAAGCTTTAAATCGAAATCGAACAAAAGCAGTTTAGGCATGCGGTGGCTGGGCATGTGGGCTACATGGCCCAGCCAACGCAGCCTTGCCTGCCGTAGGAGCTCACGGATGGGACTTTGTCCAGATCTTTCAAGGATTTGTGAGCTCCTCACACAATCCAGCCTGGTTAAACCCAGGATGGATGGTAGGCAGGCCAGCCTAAATGTTTCTAACTGGTGAAGATGTTCTATTAGTGGGGTCCACGTTTCGCAAGCGTAGAGAAGGGAGGGGATGACCGTGGACGAGAAAACCTGGAGCTTCGTGCCGAGCGAGAGACCAGGTAGCTTCCACACAGCGTTATGCAACAGATGAAAAGATAATGCCGCTCGACTGTTTCGGAGTGAGACCTCTGCTGTTAAACCAGAGCCGGTCATAAGCATACTGCCCAGGTACGGAAAACTCTCCACTCTCTCCACAACTGCCGCATCACCAATTGTGAGTTGTGGGGGTGGATTGTCCGATGGTACAAAATACCCAGGCAGGTGCTTAGTTCTGGTGGGGCTGATGGTAAGGCCCCACACCTCTTAGTGGCAAGCTCCAGGTTCAGCAGCAGCGCCTCCAACCTCTCCTCTGAGTGAGCAGCAATTACCAGATCATTGGCATACATAACGTGGTTGAGCAATAGGAAGCTATCCCTTGACTGCACCAGGCATCGATCAGCCTCCCATTGTATCTGTACCAGATGGGAATTCCTCTGGTACAGTCATTGAAGGCTTCACGAACTACGTGGTCAAAATATATGGTAAATAATGTGGGAGCCAGAGGACATCCCTGTCGCACCCCAAGGTGTAGAGGGAATGGCTATGACTCACGGCCACGTAGTTTTACGCGGGGCCGCTCACCATCATGAAGGTCGTTAAGGATTGTGAGCAAAGGGTGAGGGACCCCGAAAGCATGAAGAACAACCCAGAGCCCAGGCCTACTGATAGTATCATAGGCCTTGACCAGGTCAATAAACAACACAACCGCCATTCGCCACTAAGTGGCGGTGACGTCACCACGACGCTTGTGCCAGGCCATGTGCACCTTGAGGCCACGTGAAGTGTCGAACGCCCGCTGGCAGGAGGTCACGGGGCAGGCCCAGGTGCCACGGGTCGACTGACTGAGATGAATGGCTTATGCACCACCTATGCCCCCTACTGTGCCAACTTGCTGAGCTTTAGCCACCCTGCGATCCGCTCGTTGTTGTGAGCATCGCTCCTCCGCCCTCCGTTGTTGTTGGAGGGCGACTGCCTCCAATTGCCCAGTAGCGTCCATCACGAGCCTCCTCCACATAGGCCAATCTTGACACCGCTGGTACCAATCATCGGCAAGTCCACTAAGCTCCACATCCTCCTGTACCACATCACTCCATCTCTTCTCTAGCCCGTGCCGCGCCCGTGTAGCCCCCTCGATCCGGCCGAACAAAAGCTGTTTCGACATGCGGTGGCTGGGCATGCGGGCTACATGGCCCAGACAATGCAGCCTTGCCTGCCGGAGGAGCTCACCGATGGGACTTTGCCCAGATCTTTCAAGGACTTGTGAGCGCCTCACACAAACCAGCCTGGTTAAACCCAGGATGGATCGTAAGCAGGCCAGCCGAAATGTTTCTAACTGGCGAAGATGTTCCATTAGGGGGGTCCACGTTTCGCAATCGTAGAGAAGGGAGGGAATGACTGTGGCCGAGAAGACCTGAAGCTTCGTGCGGAGCGACAAACCAGGTAGCTTTCACACAGCGTTACGTAGCCGATGAAAAGATAATGCCGCTCGACTGATTCGGAGTGAGACCTCTGCTGTTAAACCGGAGCCAGTCATAACCACACTGCCCAGATATGAGAAACTCTCCACTCTCTCCACAACTGCCCCATCACCAATTTGGAGTTGTGGGGGTGGAGTGTCCGATGGTACAAAATACCCTGGCAGGTGCTTAGTTTTGGTGGGGCTGATGGTAAGGCCCCACCTCTTAGTGGCAAGCTCCAGGTTTAGCAGCAGTGCCTGAAACTCCTCCTCTGAGTGAGCAGCGATTACCAGATCATCGGCATACATAACATGGTTGAGCAATAGGGAGCCATCCCTTGACCGCACCCGGGCATCGATCAGCCTCTCATTATATCTGTCCCAGATGGAAATTCCTCAGGTACAGCTATTGAAGGCCTCACGAACTACGTGGTCAAAATAGATGTTAAATAATGTGGGAGCCAGAGGACATCCCTGTCGCACCCCAAGGTGTACAGCGAATGGCTCCGACTCCCGGCCACGTAGTTTTACCCGGGCTCCCTCACCATCGTGAGCAGAGGGTCAGGGACTCCGAAAGCACGAAGAACAACCCAGAGCCCAGGCCTACTGATGGTATCATAGGCCTTGACCAGGTCAATAAAGCAGAGATGTCGGTCTTGTTGTAATTCCCTACACCTTTGCTGTAGCAAACAGACAGAAAATATGGCATTCGTGCAGGACTGCCCTTTCCTGAAACCACATTGAGGCTCCGCAAGCCTCTCCTCAGCGTACCTAGCAAGGCGATGTTGAATAATCCTTGCCAGGACCTTTCCCGGCACACTGAGGAGTGAGATGACCCTGCAGTTGTTACAGTCTGTGTGGTCCCCCTTCTTTAAGAGGGGGACCCTTCTTAAAAAGGGGGACCACCAGGGCATCCTTCCAGTCATGTGGAACCTGTCCAGTGGTCCAGACTGTTGTTATGATGTCATGTATGGCAGTCTGTGCACAAACGCCACCCTCCCTCAGCATTTTGCTTGGGAGATCATCTCTGCTCGGTGCCTTTCCTAGTCTCAGACTCTGGATCGCCTTTAGTACTTCCTCAACAGATGGCACCTCAAGCCAGCCACTCACAGGGGGTGACTTCTTCAAATATTTGGGGCACCGCAGCCTCCGCAGGGTCATCCCCACTTTGTCCCACGATGTTTCCCATGTCGAGGGATTTCCCCTCTCCCAGGACTTCACAGAAATGCTCAGCAAATCTGCAAACCTGCCACGTACACACAGCGACTAACACACGCACATCGACTGACACACACAAACATATCGACTCACACACACACATATGGACTCACACACACATAGACATCCACTTTAGATACAGACACATGGAGTTACACACACATATCGACGTACACACATACAGCGACTCGCACACACACACACATTGACTCACACACAGACATACGTGGACTCACACACACATTGACCTAAACACACATACACATATGGACTCTGACACACAGACATCTACTTTAGATACACACACATGGAGTTACACACACATATCGACTCACATACAAGCATTGACTTACACACACACATCGAGTGGCACGCACACATGTATGGACTTACACACACATGTGGACTAACACACACGAAATGACACACACACATCGACGTACACACACACATCAACAGACACACAAATGCACATTGACTTATACACTCACAAGGAGCCATGCACACACATCGACTAACACACACATTGGCTAACACAGACACAGCAACTGATACACACGCATGGACTGACACGCACACTTGGACTGACGTACACACACACATCGAGCTTTGTCCGTTCGAAAAAGACAGACACACACATCGACTCACACACACACATCGACGTGCACAGCAGTCCCCGATGATGGCACAGCTATCAGCATCACAGTACTATGTATCACTAAATAGCGTGACGTGAGCAATCGAAACAATGGAAATGAATTGAAGATATAAGCTAGAATAAGTCGACATTATAGAGCAGCAGTACACGCAGGTAAGTTAAGAAACAGGCTACAGGCTAGATTATAGACCTCCAGTACGCAGACTCAATGAAATAGGCATTACAAGAGTTGACATAATAAGCTGGCAATATGGTCAGCAGCTGAAAAAGCCGGATACAGTCTACATGAAAGGCTGGCACTACATTGAGTGAGATAAAGAAGCAGGCAACAGATTATACAGTGGCATACACTCTAAATGGCCAAAATAAATATTAACAGTGTAGATAATAGAGTGCCAGTGCACTGACGTTAATTAAGAAGCAGGCCACATGACAGACTGCCAGTACACTGGCTCAGCCTCATGAAAACACACCTAACTAAAAAAATTAGCTACTTTATATTGAAATCTAAGTTGTCTACACACAAACATTACTAAAGTAATATTTGCAAACTAAATTGTTTCATAATAGTAAACGATCTACGTGAATTATTCGTGAAAGAAGCAATAAAATTGTAACCAACATTGCCGTGGTGAGGCCTAGTCCCGTGCAGAGCCTGCGTACTCGCCTAGATTGCCCAGCCGGCCGAGGTGCCTCCCTGGCAGGCTGGGGGCTGTGCCGCGACCCCCACACCCCCCCCCCCCATGAATAATACTGCAAAAGCGCTATAACATATACATCTAGGGACTTTATAGTAGTAACTGCACGTCGGTGGGGGGGGGGACATAACACCGTGAGGAATTAACCTCAGCGTTGTGTGTGTATTTGGTGCATTTCTATCGCGAATGGAAATATGTGCCGATCATGTGTGCATTGCTAGGGGCAATCCCTGTCAGCAGTTAAAAGTGTAATTTTATAAATATGTATAATACTGTGTGCGACTTACCTTGCAGAGTGTGCAGGCGAATAAAGAACCACACACACCTCTGGCGATGGCGCGTGTGGATTGCTAGGGGCTAAACTAATGGGCGTTGTGCGCAAGTGCAGCCTGCTGCGCTGCTGCGTTGTCTCTGCAGTAGCGGCGAATGGAAATAAATAAATAATGCCTGACCTAATATATAAAGAGAAATCGCCCCAAAACGCTATTTTAACTAATTTAAAGGTGACGGACGTGAAAAAGGAATAGCGCTTGCCAACCACGGGGCTTACGGCGTGGTACCTGGAAAAATATTTTTTACGTAAACCCCACCGTTTGAGAGCCAAATCCCTAGCAAGCGCGTGAACACGCACAGACAGACAAAGAATGCCTTTTATAGGTAAGATGAGACATGCCAAAGTACAGTACGTGGCATGTTCATGAAGTATTTGCACAAGAGAGAAACAAAAACTAATTATGCATTGTAAATAACAATAATATTGTACCTTTTGGAAATATTACAGTTTAAAAAACACTAGAACTGTGTCATGATGTGCAGTTGGGAACACTTACTCGCAAGTTGTGCAGATTGGGCTAAAGGTGCAGAAAACTGCAGGGCAGAGGGAGGGAGGAAACACAAATGGACTTAACACATGAAGCAAAAGTGTGTTATGGTTTATCGTCCTCTAGTGGCAGATCATCGCTATTTCTTCTGCACTTCTAGATGAAGGCCTCTGCATAATGACATCATCCCTTGCAATCCCACTATGTCACAATCCATCTAGCTTCTGGAAACTAGCTGATCTCACAGCTCCAACTCCGTGGTGGGCTTCCTCTCGGGCATGTTCCCTGCTTTGACTGCTTTTCAGTCAGCAGTTTTGACAATGGGCCATCATCCCATAAAAGCTACATGTCTTGCCCAACCCACTTACTTTTATGTAGTCAAGATGATATCTCTGACTTGTATGTTTTCATCCAAGTGTGAAAGACACATTTATTACGATGCAAGAATGATGCATGCAGGATACCAGTCCTGCCACAATTTCCACAGACCAAATGCGTATTTATCTACAATGTTTTGGTCTACCAAAACACAAACACACAGATGCCAGTTCCTGTACGGTTTAAACCCGGCCGGGTGGTAACCCAGATGCGGGTACATGCGTAGGGCCTTACTGGAGAGGCACACGGAGCAGACGTAGCCAATGGCGATGAGGTTGCGGTGGCAGAAGCAGGCAGCGCGGTAGTCCACCTGCACGGGGGGTGGGAGGACCAAGCTGGCACGCAGCTCAGGGTCTGGGAGGAACACCCACTGGGTGAAGTGGGGGGAGAGCAGGAGGGGGCACGTTAGGATGCGATGGAGGAAAGGCAAAAGGTGGCAGTGGGGAACAGATGCAAGTGGAATTGGGAGGGGCATGAATAGTGAAGGTAAAGAAGGGAAATTGAGAATAGAAAGGAAATTACACAAATCAGGGAAAAACAATGGTTAGAAAAATTTGACAAGTACTCAATTCTATGTTAAAATTTTAATTTGCAAAGTTTACAATTAATGCACGTGTGTAATTTTACAATTAAAATAGTTACAAACCTGCAAATATTGCAATAAGGCTGCTATCTGTGGAACTTGCAGATAGATGCCACCTGTGATGTCACATGCCTGTCAAAATAGTCAAAATATGAAATACTCTTAATGGAGATGCAACTTTCCATGATTTACTTTTACAAAGTTGCTAGCAAAGCCAAAACCTTTTTATGTGTAAGTATAGTAGACTCTCGATGATGCTAATCTCTAGCAATACAATGGCTTCTTCAGCACCGTAGTCGTGGGGTTACATTAACAGATTGACATGCTAATCTCTAGCAATACAATGGCCGAGGTATATTACTTGTAAATTCCATGTCTAGCCTCACCCACTTACCCTTGGGTTGTACCCATCTCAAACCTCTACAACCTCTTGCTGCAGTAGTTCTCTCACTATATTTATCCTGCCTCAGCAGTTCGCCTGCTGTATTTTTTCACCTAAAGACAATTGCTCGTGTTGCGATCGAAACGTCGTGATTTTTTATTGTTTTTCTATCTACGTGACTTTACCGAAAGACTCAAAGAGTATGAATTCATGCAGTCACGAAAGCTTTAAGTCAACATGTTATGGTTAATAAAATTGCATTTGTTAAGGAACAAAACTAAAATTTGTAGTAAAGAATGTGTTGATCTTGTTTTCTTAGAAAAGTCCAGAAGACTCGGCCAACCAAGTGGACAGCAGCAGAGCCACGCCAATCAACATCAATCAAAGTCCGCCCACTGTTGTAAAGATATGAACCACTGTATTGTAGAGGCGATCACGTGGATTTAGGATTAACCAGAACACATATTTGTTCGGTTTAAGCAGGTGACTATAATAAATATTTCCTATAATAATAATAATTTATAACTGTTTTTAGATTATAAATTTAGGCTTAAGGGAAAATCCATGAGTTACTAATTTATGCCAAAATGTCAGGTACTCGGTTAATCCGCAAATCGGATAAACCGCACGTGGATAATCGAGTCTACTGTACACAGTAAAAACAGAGGAAAACTACTTTCCTGTTGCAGAAGACCTGAGTCTGATCCCAAAACACAGGCATCAATAAATATATTCTGTGGGAAAGAGGAACATATGAGAACAGCATTGTCATCATAACGTACATACACATGATATAATTAATGGGAGGTTTTAAAGAGCGTATCTAAGAATTTGCAGGGAATTTGTTGTAATTGGTGCAATGGTAAGCGAGGCAAGAGGGTGTGCGAGTTGAAGGGAAGGGAAAGAGGCAAAGTGGAATGATAACAATGGAGAAGGGTTTCAAGAGTTGTAAAGATGCAAGCAAACTGATAGGGAACAATTACAGAACAGTGATACGTTCAGTTCTGTTATATGGTGCAGAGACGTGTTCACCAAGGGACAAAGAAGAAGCTCGAAAAGACAAACATGCCGAGATGGAGTTTGAGATTATCTTCAAAGGGAAAGGAGAATTGGAGAAGTTAAAGCCTCTTCACAGGTGACTAAAATATGGTCTAGGTCAGGGAGGTGAGACTTCGAAGGAGATTAGAGTTTCAAAGACTCACACAGAGACCCAAAAGTCTCACACAGAGACCCATAGACTCACATAAGAGACCCATAGAGTCACTCAAAGACCCACTGATTATAAGAGCTATGGAGATGCCACCAGTGCAGGACAGACGTATAATACTGAGAAGGCAATGGCAGGATGTGGTGGAACATGATACGTGGACAGCGGACCTTACTGGAGAAGAGGCACAGAATATAAGCTCATGGAGCAGGGAAATCCGAGCAGCCGGCCGCCATGCAAAAATGGTACTTTTTGGCTGAGTGTAAGAAGAGATGTATACACAATTGTATACATTTTAAACAAAGTGTTGATACAAACCTGTTTCTGTGCCGCAAAAATGACATTCATGAAGTTCATGTACTGAGAAGCACTGTCGTCCGCAGCTTTAATCACCTGGCAAGACAAACACGGGAGTTTCAATGGTTGCAGGTCAATTAATTTTTCAAAGCTTTTAAGGTGGCTAAGAAAATTATCTGCATGGTTGTTGGTCTAGATAAGAGATGCTGAGACAGAATTATGTAAAATGACAAAGGCAAAAATCGATGTTTATCACAATTAAAAATAAAAAAATTTCAATGAAATAATTTTTAATTAAATTGAAATTGCCTCATTAAATGTCAATGGATGGCTAAGACAAGCGTACTGCAGAGTTCCACTGTGACCCTTACAATTAATCGAGCATTCTCCATCTCCCTTGGTGCTGATAGCATGAGCAAAGCTCTACATGAGCCACAAGACTGCACATCCTGGAAGGCTTGTGTGTGATGTATGTTGGTGAATACAAAACAAAAGGATTGTGGCTCTGCTAATTTGTATCTTGATGTGTCTATGCCATGCTACTTACTACCAGATGTTTATTCAGGCGAGCCTAATTGTTGTTACAAGAAAAACATACAGCTCACACTAATACATTTTAACAAGGGGCCAAAAATGTGTATCGTAGAAGCTGTAGTTGAGACACTGTGTATAATGTGTAGGTGACGGGATTTCAGTGTACATGGATAAACCGACCAGAATTCTGGACTTTACATCTTGTCCTGCCCCTACACACATTGGTGAACACACGCGCACACAGGGAGAAGCAAATAAGGGCTTGGATAAGGCACATAGATTGTAACATTAACAAGTGCATCACTACAATGTTACTCTTAAGATGTCTAGATGAAGGAGGCATAGAGTGGTATGGCTGGAGAGAAATAACTGCAAAGCCTTTGTCAATGCACTCAACTGCAAGGCCTCTCAATATAATGAGGAGCTGTTTGACCATACATCATCATCCTAAGTCGGTGCAAGTTGGTGAAAGCGGGGCCCCAAGATTAGTCCAGATATCACTCGCCACCAATGTTAACTGTAGACATTTGTTCTCAAACAACCGAGGGCATCGAATCTGCCGTATCCTCTCTGCCCATGTATCCTAAATTATAATCAGAATTTGTATTTATACTGGAGAAATCCGATTAGCTATAAAGCTCTTTTTCACAGATGTCCGGTATGGGCAGGTATGAATGTTACAACAACAAAAAAACACCACAGGAGTGCGAAGTATAGGAAAGGTAAACATATCACTTCAAATATACAAATATAATCAAAATATTTTTTATATCTTACCAGCTAAATCCCACTGAGGTATTAACTTATTTTTCAGACGTGACCTGGCCACAAATGAAAGCTCAAGAAAGTGTACTCAAGAAAGTGGCTTATCATGTGTACATTTATAGCAGCAAATGTATCTAAATAATCTCAATGTCGGGCCTGCCACCAGTCTCTTTACCACACTACATAGTTTAAGTTTATTTTATTTGTCATGCAGATGCTCTCGTTTAGCCAGTTTCCTGGCTATTTTACAAGGGAGATATGTGGTGCATGAGCACAGCAACAACAACACAAATACAAAAACATAAATATCGCAGAGGTTGAGTTACATGGTCCTTCTGGAATATTGCAGAACAATCGAGGTATTTAACGGTTGTCAATGACACACACACGAATAAAAAAAACAGTGCAAATATAATGAGATGAAGATGCGCCAGAGAAAGTTATCTATAAGTGCAAGTAAGCTCTGTGTTTTTGTTGTTTAATCGAGAAATAAAGGGGAGTGAAGCGAGGAAACCAAGCTGCAGATGAGCGACAAGGGTATTTTAGAAACGTGGAGCAGCAACGTGGAAAGAGATTATTTTTAAACCAAAGTTTTAGTGAATATAATTTTTTGTAGGAATAAGGGGACGATTTTGAGGCTAGGGGGGAGGGCGTTAGAGGAACAAGTGGTCCTTTCAGTAATTGGCGGATTTAAGATGACATTAGGATGAAGACAGACCAGTGACGGTCTCTCTGGATATCCAGGGGGGACAGGTTTGAGTTAATTCATTCATTCAAAATTGTTTTGGAGTAAAAACTCACCCCCACTAAACAGGGCATCACAATAATTTACAGTATAAATTAAACGAAGGTAGTCCTACCTATAAAATCAAGACATAAAACATCAAATTGAGGGGACATACTCAAGGAAAAGCTAATTTTCGGTTGTGCTGATGAGGAGGCATCATGGGCAACAGAGTGAAGTTGTGCAATGGAATAAAACATCTTTGGGGAAACTAAGCGACATGTCCCGGACCGTGTTCGTGAACATAAGGTAGATCTGAAACACGGTAGGACCAATACCTCGGCCGTGGCTAATCATTGTTTTAATGCGGTGAGCTCACACAAAATAGATTTCTCTAAGACAAAGGTACTTTGCAAACCCACTGGCTATCAACAAAGATTTGTTCATGAAGCAATCCATATATACAGAAATAGGCACAATTTCAACCGAGAAGATGGGTACAAATGCAGCAATCACTGGAAGGACGTTATCAACCAGTTTAAGTCATAACTGGCTGTAATGTTGCCATTTAAGACCTGGCAGGCCTTTAATTGGTGGAAGCCCACCACCGGGACCATCACTGTCCACTACTACCATCACCACTAGCAGTAGCCCTTTATTAGTGGAAGCTCACCACAAGTGCCGTCGTGGCCCTAGATGAGTACCATCACCTCTAGCAGCAACCTCCACCGACAAGTGTGTGTAAAGCGAGGTGCAAATATTACTTGGCAGCCCTTCAATTGGTCACCAGCACCGTCATCGCCCTCTACGAGTACCATCACTTACATTAACATTAGCTGCCCCGCCCATGCCGCTGACACTTGGGCTACGCCCATTTCAAACCTTTATAAAGTTTGCTTTTAGAGGCTAACCCCCTTTTCCTGATGACGACCGCTTGTGTTGCGATCGAAACGTCGTAGTTTTTGTTATTTTCCTTGAAACTATCTATGTGACTTTACCGAAAGATCCAAAGAACATGGAATGAGACATTTTAAGGAATATACAGAAGCTAGGTGGTAGACAGTGTCACATTTGACAAATATGGGCAGGGTGGTAGCTTAAACTATATTCAGACGGAGTCGAGGTGGAATACAGCGTTTGTTTCTGTATAGGAATCCAATTGTGGGGTTTACATTATTGGCCATGTGGTCAATGTGGGACTTGAAAAAAGATTTTGAGTCCAGGAAAATAACTAGATATTTGAAATTGTCAACCTGACCAACAATACTATTGTTGTCGATTATCAAGCATAGGTTTATGCTGTAATATTAAATGTTTATTAAATGTTGGCGATTTTTGAACGTACTGTATACAAAATTGCAACAAATCTAAACAAAAACGCTATTATTTTTTATTTTACCAGGTAAGGCCTACTGAGCTATATAGCTCTTTTTCAGAAGCGACTTGGCCACAAATGATAGCTGACATTTCTAACAGTGTTGAGGACGAGTTTTAGGGCATTAAGAAGTTGAATATGATCAAAGTCCTGTTCGAAGATGCCATTGCAACTCCTCCATGAAATTACCGAAGGCCATGGAAGCAAAAAGGTTAATGTCAGAGTATAGATTGTTGAAGTAGAGAGAAAACAGGATAGGGCCAAGGAAAGAGCTTCGAGGACCTCCCTTAGAAATGGGAGGTCCTCTCAAATGATGTATTGATGGAGACAATTTGATATCGGTCAAAAAATTAGTTAAAAATCCAGTGGATTGCACAATCCAAAAATTCACGATTTAAGCCTTTGCAACATTATAACGTGATCCAGTGTCAAATGGTGTAGGCAAGTCGAGGAATAGGTTGTCACGATGACGAGACTCAAGACTGTTGAAGACAGAGTCAGGAGTATAGAAAACCACAGAGGCTGTGCTACATTTTTCTCGAAAGCCAGATTGCTTAGGGTGGACTAAGAAATGTTCTGAGATGAAATTTGTGATTTTAAGACCTTCTCAAAGATCTTGACGAGAAGGGAGAAGATTCAGATGGGGCAGTAATTGTTTGGGTCGTCTGCAGCGCCACCTTTATGATGAGGGCGTGCAAGAGCAGTTTTCCATTCAGGAGGGATGGATGCCTCCAGAATGGAAAGACACATTGAGGTACATCATCGTTCTCTACAGTTGGGCTTTCAGTCTCAGTGGCACTTGCAACCCCCCCCCCCCCTCCCCGAGGTATTATTACACTCTTGCAGCAGGCCCTTGCACAAATAACCATGGAACCATGGCAGCAAGGAATTTAACTGCTCGCTCACAAGAGGTTGTTAATGTAAATTTTGTAAACCGAAGATATTACTATTTTTGACCCATAAATTGTGCAACTAATGGCCCATTCGGTGTTTGTCCCCTAAGGGAAAAAATGTCACACAGACATTTACAATAAATACGTACCTTCATTCTCTTTCGTGATTCTGTGAATGTCTGATGAGGTCAAGTCAAGGTTATGGTCATGGTTGTTCATGTACACGTAGTAAGCCGAAGATAATATTACATATACCTATTAAATATAGGCACATAACTGCATTCATTCATCCATCAAATAAAATCGTTTATGCTCACAATACATATTAATCGTGCAAACGAGTCAATTATTTTATATTCGTGTTTGTTGTCATAAGTAAGCATCAGCTTAGCCACTGTTCCAAAACACACGTTTCTTGAATCTCAATATTGTTTTCATGAGGGTCCCGATAGGTTTTTTTGCAGCACGGGCAACAATTGCAATGTTTTCCAATTGAGCAATGTGCCATGTAATTTTTCCAAATTTGGATCATGATGCCGAACGCAACAGCCTGCTCTTTTTCGAATGACATCACAGGTAACTTCAACATCTTCCGTGAGCACACGACACATTTCATTATTAATACAACTGCACAATAAACCTTCTGGATCACAGCAGCCTCACTCCACTCCACAAATAGAAATGAAGACGAGAAATGGAAACAAGTCTGGACTGCGGCCGACGTCAAAAATAAACATCTCATACAGGACCCTACCGTCGAACCTCCCCGTTTCAACCTTCCACGCCGCCAACGGTCGACCATCAACCGAATGGGGACCGGGCATGGCCGATGCGACCACCCGATGCACAAATGGCGCATTGAAGACGGCGGCCTGTGAGTCCGGCCACAAATCCCAAACCATCAACCGCATCGTAAACTCCCCGCTGCTGTTGTGGTGCCACGACCGTGAAGCCACTCCGCAAGTGCCGCGATTCCCCCCCTACCCCTGCCCTGAACACAGACACGCCGCACACACACACACGTAGCATCCTGGCGGGGGATCACCTGACACCACGGGTTTTCATCCGAAGGGTTTCTCGGTGCCAGGAGAATGGCCAACCCCACCAAGACAAATCACATTGCGGCCCCCCTAAATTGGCTTAAAATTGTATGGGTGCACAAAAGTTCACCGGGCCAGCCGCAATGAGTCACTCACAACACCGGGGAGGGGCCAGGGTGAAATATTAAGCAAGCGGTGCAGACGATGAGGTGAGGGGGAAATCCTAGGGCACACTCGCGGGTGTGTATTCGCCAGCCGGGCGGCCTTCCAGATTAAACCGGCTGAGTCAGGGGTTAATGAGACAATGGGCCGAAAAATAGCGTAACGTAATGCTCTAGGTAAGGGCAGAGAAATGTTTGAAAATCAAAAAGTAGGCGCACAATTGGCTGTGCAGGATGACATAACGTAACCCTGGATTTTCGACATCACAGGGCATAAAAAGGGGAGCCGAAAACGGTTAAGGCAGTTCTGATCTTTAACAACTTGGTCGCCAAGCCCACCCCTGCCTTCCTGCCTCCTCGAGCCGTTCGCAGCATCCGTGTGATGCCAGCGAGTGCTGCTACGAGGCAGTGATAAGCAAGGTTTTTCCGTCATCATCCCTCCGACTCTCACAGCATCCGTGCGACACCATGAGTACATCTGCGAGGTACGTGATAGGGCGTGTGAGTGTTTGGGGACTTGGGTAGCCGTAGGCTTGGCTCTCCCCGCAAGAATATTCCCTCCGGGTAGTGCAGGGATCGTGCCGTGAATAAACGTTAGCACAGAGCCTCGGTGTTGTGTCAGTGATTTATGTGTGGAGCGGCTGCGTGTGCGGACGTATGGCGTGAGTGAGGACAGAGCCGCAGCACGAGCGCTCATGGAGATAATCGCCTGCAGGTGCGCACGCGTTCGCGCAGCTGCTGTAGCGTTAACTGTGGGGTGTACGCGTGTTACAATATGTCAGCAGGGGCGCGTGTGTTTGCGCGGCCGCTATAGCGTTAGTCGTAGTGCGTGCGCGGGTTAGGACATAAACCGCCCGCAGGAGCGCGCGTGTTTGCGCCGCTGCTGTAGTGTTAACTGTGGGGCATGTGCATTTTAGAATCTGATCGCCGGCAGGGGCGCGCGCGTGCTCGCCGCCGCTGTAGCATTAGCGTTGGTGTGTGTGCGTGTGTGGAATAACCCCGCGCGGCGGTGAGCCAGCGACTTAGCTATGTCCCTCATAGGGGGGTTTAACGCGGGGGGGCCGATCTCCCGGTCGGCAGGGGCCCGGCAGGGGCCGATCGACGCGGTGGAGGGAATGGAGAAGGGAGTGGAAGGGGCGGTCGTCGCGCCCCACCTACCCGGCGAGGGCGGTGGGGTGGACGCCGGCCCCCACACTGTCTTCACTCCTTTAAAGGAGGAACGGACGAGATCTACTCTGCTTCTGGACAGACAATTGAATGGATAACAAATCTAAAATTACATTTTTAATCTGCTATTAATCCATATGAAGAAGATAAACCAGGGCGTTTGCCAGATATGGACCGTGAACCTCTGCAGCAAGCGCCGAGTGTGCTACCATTTGGCCATGTCACGGCCCCAATGCTATTCACTTCTTGCATATGACAATATCGAGGTCTTCTAGCCATGAGAGGGCTTCAGGAGTGTAGTTTTTCATATTCCTCCTCCATTGATGGAGCGCAGTGTATGTTGGTTTACAAATATGGTCCATAGTTTGGGTTGCATGGCCACAGTTGCACTGTGGCTTGTTTTTATGCTTCCATTAATGAAGGAGACGTGCACCACAGCCTGTTTATGTTAAAATGGGGTTGATGGTACACCAGTATATTCGAGGAACGTCAAATATTTGGAACTTGAATTACGTGTTTATTCCGGACGTTTGTGTTGTTCCACTCCATTCACCACCGTTCCTCCAGATCTGGCTGAGATTCTAGAATGGTGACAGCGCATTCTCCGAACGGGGATCGGGACCTGAGATGGTGGAGAAGAACATTATTGAGGTCATCGTTGATGGGTAAGTTGTCACTGGCAAGAAAGCGTGTAAACTCCCCTGCAGTTTGCGTGTCTCTGTGGATATTTGGTTTCAGAATGTTCACTAGGGCAGAGTGCCAGGGAATTGGTGTGGGTATCAGTGGTCTGGTTATGATGTGCATTACGTTATTTAACTGTGCATCGAGCAGTTTTGTGTACGAGCTCCTGGACCAAGCAGGAGCACAATAATCTTCTACTGAGTGGATCAGCTAGAAGGCAGCAGTTTGCAGCACATCAGCTGAGGACGTTGCTGCACGTTTCTGCAGCAGAGCGATTCTTGATTTGGTGTTTTCACAGATCTGTTTTATGTGGGGCTTGAAGGTAAGGCTTCTATCCATGATAACCCCGAGATATCTTGGAATGGGGTCATAGCTCACTGCGCTCCCAAAAAAGGACATATTAAAGGTGGCATCTCCTGCGTGATTGTTCAGGTGAAAAGCACTTGTGGTGGTTTTGAAAGTATTTGGTCACAATCTGCTTCATTTGATACATGCCTAATTAATTAACATGCTCTTGTGGGGTTCAGAATATGTATATATATCTGTATTCCTCTTAGCACAATGGCAACCTTGGAAAAACAGTGGTCTCCGATAAAACTTGGGTTAATTTAGTTTTTGTTTGCATTATCGAGATTCGCATGCAAAAGAACCAATACAAAAATAGACCATCAGTTTGCAGCACATATCGTGATGTTTAACAATAAGAATAACAGTAAAGCCCTATGTGTGTCTTGCATTTGTTGGAACGATTCACACGGTGACCGGTGAACCTTGCCGCTGGTGGTTATGATGGATGCCACTACCCAATCACATTTTCATGTGCAGTGTAATTTGAACATTCGCACGTACCAAATGGTTCAATCGTTACGAAATACTGAACTGGATTCAATGCTAAAATATGTATGATTGATTAACTACCCTACATGAAACCATTTTCAGGTTGAGGGATTTAATTCTGAGAATGTTTCCGAGGTTTGCACTGCAAAACACGTGGGGTACAGGAGAACTTCTCTACTCCGTGGTCCGATTACCCACGACTCCTATTCATCACAACTCCTATAATAATCCATGGCAGCTGTAGGGTTCACAAAAATCCATATAATCTGCCACCCTATTTCTTCCTATTATTAGTGATCATGGGTGATTTTACCCATTATGCATAGTGAAGTGGCTTCCTCATACCCGATATTTTTTATGCATAAGAGGAATTGTGTGGCAAATTCATCCTATATCCATTAGTTATTTTAAAAAAATGTACCCCTTAGATAAGTAAAATCACATATAACCCCACGGATGGTAGGATCTGAGATATCGGTCCCCCATATCACTGCAGATGAGAGGAGTTCTTCTGTAGTTGCTTTACCTCAACACAAAGTGGTTTAACCTGATGCAAAAATGCAGAGCACATATATTCCAAATAAGACAGAATAGCGGACCCTGAATTGAACAAAAGGATACAACACAGCGCCTTTGCCAAAGATCCAGCCAAAAGTGAATCAGACCTCATATCTGCTGTCACTTCAGCTGAAAAAAACAAACAGAAGGCATTGTGAGAGCTTTATAACAATATCATCATCATTAAGTAGTCCCACTCCTGAACCTCCTTCCATTCCTCTCCCAAAGCTTACACCGGACAAGTGGTAACACCACTACAACGTAAAAAGTGAAGTGGGGAAGTGGGAGAAGCCTACTGTTGGCAAGCAATGCCGTGATCTGGGTGGCGATGGCGTGGTTGGCGGTCGCCAGCAGCTCACAGCGGCCGTCACGTGGGCCAGCCGAATCCCCCGCATCACTCGCCTGCTGTTCCGTGGCTGTCCCACTCGCCGGGTACAGGAACCGACTGTGCACACGTAGGTGGAAAAAGAAGCATCAGTCACACGAGCACAGGCCCAGCAACAAAACAGCACCATCAAAGTCGTAACAGATAAAGAGTTCACATGTACCTTGAATTGAGCAGTCATAAGAGCTTGGGAAAAGAAATGACCAGCAATGTGGTAGGTGGGTGGGTGTGTTGTTATGACCTGCAGTGTGGAGGGTGGGTGAGTGGGTGTGTTGTTGTGACCTGCAGTGTGGTGGGTAGGTGAGTGGGTGTGTTGTGACCCGCAGTGTGGTGGGAGGGTGAGTGGGTGTGTTGTTGTGACCTGCAGTGTGGTAGCTGAACACAGTACGAATTATTCTTTGTTTTTTTCGGTAAAGGCACTAAGAAATAAGAAATAATAAAATTACATAATAGCGTACGACGTTTCGATTGCAACACAAGCAATCATCATCAGGTACAGAAGAGCTAAATTTATGAGAGAGAAGAGACACATAGCCGCAGATATATATACAGACACAGATACAACAGGGGATACAGAGAGAGATAGACGGGGGGAGCACACTAAATCAAACAAGGTTTAGCAAAATTTGGAAACCATATAACGCAACACAGACGGTCGGTCAAAACACAATTAACGCATGGTCTGATTGATTACGCTATATCAAAGATTGCTAAATTGCAAGTTAAGTGTGAAATTATATACATCTGAGGTTATGTGTTTCCCCTCTCTCGTAAATTTAGCTCTTCTGTACCTGATGATGGCTGCTTGTGTTGCAACCGAAACGTCGTACGCTATTATGTTATTTTATTATTTCTTATTTATATGTGACTTTACCGAAAAAACCAAAGTGTAATTCCTGCAGTCATGAAAGCTTCAAATCAAGTCTGAACCACCTCTTCGGGGAGGTATGAGGTATGTGTCTTTGTGTGGTCTCTGCTTGTGTATCTGCCTTTGTGTCTTGGCTTGGATTTGTCTCTGTGCTGTCTCTGCCTGTGTGTGGGCCTTGTTGCTTACGAGTGGGTGCTGCCGCGCCCCACTTTGCTCCATGCATACCCAATGCTGATTTGTCCCATTGTGTGCTGCCGCGCCCCACTTTGCTCCATGCATACCTCATGCTAATTGTCCCATTGTCTCTCAGCCTTACCTTCTCTGCCTATTTAAAGCGACTTCACTGTGTGCTTGTCTCTGTGCTGGTTCGCTCTACTTGGATGTCTGTGTGTGTGCGCGGTCTGTATTTTGAGTTTCATACTTGCAATTTAGCAATCTTTGAAATAACGTGATCAACCGGACTATGCGTTATTTGTGTTTTGACCGACCGTCTGTGTTGCTTTATATGGTTTCCAAAATTTTGCTAAACCCTGTTTGTCTGGTATGCTTCTCTCTCTGTGTCCCCTGTTGTATCTGTGTTAGTTTCCCCTACTTGGTTGTCTGCATATACATCTGAGGTTATGTGTTTCCCCTCTCTCGTAAATTTAGCCCTTCTGTACCTGATGATGGCTGCTTGTGTTGCAACCGAAACGACGTACGCTATTATGTTATTTTATTATTTCTTATTTATACGTGACTTTACCGAAAAAAAAACAAAGACTATTGAGTACTGTGAGGTAGGCCTGAGTGCTCCACTCCAGATATGAGAATAGCATTCAAACTTCAGCCAAATTTGCACTTGGTACAGTTGTAATAATTGTTTGAAATTAAAAAGCGTTTGGCACGGAGGGGAAATGGAATGGGATGAGCCCACGGCACTATTCGTGGGAATCATGACTCGGCCTGGCTTGTATGTATGTCTTTGTATGTTGAACTTCTTTTGCACCATACGTAGCCAATCGTGATAATTGTGGTTTTGGTTTGGCTCAGATCCCAGCATGGCTGTGGCTGCAATGAAGCAAGCGTGCAACCATGGCATATGTTGATGAGATCTGATAAGATGAGGTCCACATGAAAACAGGCAAATGCGTTGCTCACGCCAGGAGATGCAACTTCTCGCATGGAAAATCACAGGCAAGCGCACACACGCACGCTCATAAAATCCCCAGCACAAATGATCTCACCTCTCTTGGTTGTGGCTTGCGATGACTGCAAGCCGATGGTTCCTGCTCATTGCCAGATGGGAGTTGGCGAAGACCATCACAGCATCCACACAACGTGGCAGTGTAAACTAGGTAAAAAAAAAACGAGTTATAATTGTAAAATATACATTTATTTCGAAATAGAGGCATTACATGCCAGCACCACACGATGAGAGCCAGTGAAAATGACAGAACTGTCCAGTCAAAAAGCAACTATTAACGATGCCACATATGGTCAACAACATCCAGCTGTCTTTCTCCCCGGCCCATTTAGGAGAAGGCTCGGCCAAATGCACATTTTGCCAGTGATTGCGAACATAGAAAGGAATTGAACACAGGTCAATGAAAACCTAGTGCAGTGCAATGATCACTCAACCACGACTACCCATAAAAATATGAGGTAAACATTCCATAATTAAGAGTTATAAAATACCAGAGCAAATTCTGTTAGTTATCAGGATGTATGTTACTAATAGACACTCACACATGTTTAAAGTTGAATCAGATACCTCCAGGTTTTGGAGTTTTCTTGTTCCCCACCATATGGGATTCACATCCAACACGATCACCAGCAGGTTAATGTCCTCTTCTGTTAAAGAGAGTCAAATCACTTAAAACGTAGGTTTGTGTAGCCAATATTGATTCATATTTGTTATTTTCGTTTAATCTATTTGTGACTAGCTTTACTATCCGGCTTCGCCCGAGACTTGGATTCTTGTCTTGAATTAATACACGGCCTACGCGGAGGGTTGGGGGGGGGGGTGATGTCAGCAAGTACACTGCGTAACGCTGCCGCGTGTGGGTAACATCGCAGATGTGACGTCACAGCTCACTTGCCGTGCAAAATATATCAATCATTGCGCCCCCCCCCCCAAAAAAAATATATACAAAAGTAATTTTTTATACTTTTTTCATAGTGTACAGTCTGGAAACTACACACATGCCAAATTTCAAGTTTGTTGCATGTCGGGAAGTATGCTTAACATTTCGAGCAGACACATTCACAAATTTCCCTTTAATATATATAGAAGACTATCTTTACTATCGAGCTTCGCCCGGGACTTGGATTCACCACGCCTGGCCGCATTTGTCTCCCCAGTGGCGATGTTCACACACCACACCAGTTACTCGTTTGAGGCTGAGTCGACCTAGGGGAGGCCCAGGACCGGTTCAAACACTGTGGCCGTGAGCGGGAATGCAACTCGGGTCGCCGGGTTCGTAGCGCAGCGCGCGAATCGCTACGCAGTTGCTGCCCCTCCCACACATACAGGATAAAGACAAAGATCCCCCGTGTAGCCTGTGAGACTGTAGATGGAACCAGATCACGGATTTTATGTACTGTGTTGAATCGGACCTGGATCTTGTGTTTATTCAGGATTTTGGAGACATTTTTAGTGACCCCTGCAATGTAGGGTAAGGTGATGGTTTAGAGTGGCTCTACAAGAGGATCCTTCTTCATGACTGGAGTGATGGCTTTGCGGATTGTGTAGTCGGAGTAACCATTAGCCCTGAGAGCCTGGTGTACGTGCTTGAGTTCACTGGTAATGTGTTCCTGGTCGGAAATGCATTGGGCTCTATGGTATAGAGTCTTGATGAGGGAGTTCTTCTGGGATGGATGGTGGTGGGAATCCGGTTTCAAGTAAGCATCTGTATGGGTAGCTTTCCTGTAGACAGAGTGGCTCATTGAACCATCATGTCTCCTTTTCATTAAGACATCCAAAAATGGTAGTTTGCCATCTTTTTCGACCTCCATGGTAAATCTGATGGCTGGGTGTATGAAATTGATGTGGTCGCGGAATTGGTCTAGAGCAGGCTGGCCATGTGGCAAGATGACAAAAGTGTCTTCCATAAGGTCAGGCGTAGAGTGGCAGTCTGGATGGCGTCAGTTTCAAATTTTTCCATGAATACGTTGGCTACAACCGGAGATAGAGGGGAGCCCATTGGGGTGCCCTCGGTTTGTTTGTAGAAAGTTCCATTCCAGGTGAAGAAGTATGTGTTGGTTAAGCAATGTCTCACCAGGGGGGGTACATCAGTATGCAGTCCTTGATGAACCAGGTCTTCAATGATAGCGATGGTGTCAGGTACCGGGACTTTGGTGAACAAGGACACATCAAAACTGACAAGTAGGTCGTCTGGGGACAGGGAAATGTCTTTGTCGATACCAGGTGAGTAGAATTTAGTACCGCAGAGGTGGTTTTTCCAGTGAAAGGTCGCAGTATATCAGCAATAAATTTATTATTTTATTCTCATTCTACGCGACTTTACCGAAAGAACCAAAGAAGATGAATCCTTGCAGTCACGAAAGCTTTAAATCAAAACTATCTGTTACCACTAGATCAGTGTTAACACTATCTAACTGTTACCACTAGCTCAGTGTTAACACTATCTGTTACCATTAGCTCAGTGTTAACACTATCTGTTACCAATAGCCCAGTGTTAACACTATCTAACTGTTACCACTATCTCAGTGTTGACACTACCTTACTGTTACCAGTCTCAGTGTTAACACTATCTAATGTTACCACTGTCTCAGTGTTAACTATCTGTTACCACTGTCTCAGTGTAAACCCTATCTGTTACCACTGTCTCAGTGTTAATACTATCTAACTGTTACCACTAGCCCAGTGTTAACACTGTTACCACTAGCCCAGTGTTAACACTATCTAACTGTTAGCACTAGCTCAGTGTTAACACTATCTGTTACCACTAGCTCAGTGTTAACACTATCTAATTGTTACCACTAGCTCAGTGTTAACACTATCTAACTGTTACCACTGTCTCAGTGTTAACACTATCTGTTACCACTAGCTCAGTGTTAACACTATCTGTTACCACTGTCACAGTGTTAACACTATCTAACTGTTACCACTAGCTCAGTGTTAACACTATCTAACTGTTACCACTGTCACAGTGTTAATACTATTTAACTGTTACCACTGTCTCAGTGTTAACACTATCTAACTGTTACCACTAGATCAGTGTTAACACTATCTAACTGTTACCACTAGCTCAGTGTTAACACTATCTGTTACCACTAGTTCAGTGTTAACACTATCTGTTACCAATAGCCCAGTGTTAACACTATCTAACTGTTACCACTATCTCAGTGTTGACACTATCTTACTGTTACCACTGTCTCAGTGTTAACACTATCTAATGTTACCACTGTCTCAGTGTTAACTATCTAACTGTTACCACTGTCTCAGTGTAAACCCTATCTGTTACCACTGTCTCAGTGTTAATACTATCTGTTACCACTGTCTCAGTGTTAATACTATCTAACTGTTACCACTAGCCCAGTGTTAACACTGTTACCACTAGCCCAGTGTTAACACTATCTAACTGTTACCACTGTCCAAGTGTGAACACAATCTTACTGTTACCACTGTCTCAGTGTTAACACTATCTGTTACCACTAGTTCATATTCTTAGCTCTTTCGGTGAAGTCGCGTTGAAGGGAAACAATAAAATAATATATATATAAAACAATAAAAATTCTCACAACGTTTCGACCATAACACAAACGGTCGTCATCAGGTGTGTCGGTTTGCATAAATTTATTTATTTTTAAACGGTGTGTTTATTTATTTATAAATAACGTCAGCGCCATGCGCAGCGATTTGGCAGTTTATTTAGAAGGACTAGTCCATCTATGTTCTGAAAAGAGGAGGGGGGAGACGAAAAATTAATGTATGCTGTCTGAAAGCCACTGTAAGCGTGAACAATCAATTAAGACCTGAAATGGTTTATAAAATCTTTCCAATGATTGCAAAGCCAGAATCCATCTTCTCGGTTGAAATTGTCTCTGTGTTTGTATATGTGGATAGCCTCATGAACGAATCTCTCATGGTAGCCAGATGTCTTGCAAAGAACCTCTGTCTTGGAGAAGTCAATGTCATGTGAGCCTACTGAATTATAACAATGATCTGCCACGGCCGAAGTGTTGGTCCTACCGTGTTTAAGGTCCGCTTTGTGTTCACGAACGCGGTCCGAGACATGGCGTTTGGCTTCTCCAATGTAACTACTACCACAGAGGCAACTTAGCTTGTAGACACCAGGGTACTGTATGTCCGGAATCACATCTTTTACAGACGGAACCAGATCACGGATTTTATGTAATGTGTTGAAACGGACCTGGATCTTGTGTTTATTCAAGATTTTGGAGATCTTTTTTTGTGATCCCCGCAATGTAGGGTAAAGTGATGTTTTTTAAAGGCTCCTCAAGAGGGTCCTTCTTCATGGTTTGAGTGATAGCTTTGCGGATTGTATAGTCGGAGTAACCATTAGCCTTAAGAGCTTGGTGTACGTGTTTGAGTCCACTGCCTATGTGTTCCTGGTCGGATATGCATTGGGGTCTATAATACAGAGTCTTGATGAGAGAATTCTTCTGTGATGCATGGTGGTGGGAATCCGGTTTCAGACAAGCATCCATATGGGTAGCTTTCCTGTAGACAGAGTGGCTCATTGAACCATCAGGTCTCTTTTTAATTAGGACATCCAAAAAAGGTAGCTTGCCATCTTTTTCGACTTCCATGGTAAATCTGATGGCTGTGTGTATGGAATTGATGTGGTCGAAGAATTGGTCTAGAGCAGGCCGGCCATGTGGCCAGATGGCAAAAGTGTCATCCACGTACCTCTTCCATAAGGTTGGGCGCAGGGTGGCAGTCTGGATGGCGTCAGTCTCAAATTTCTCCATGAAAATGTTAGCTATAACCGGAGATAGGGGGGAGCCCATTGGGGTTCCCTCAGTTTGTTTGTAGAAAGTTCCATTCCAAGTGAAGTATGTATTGATTAAACAGTGTCTCACCAGGGGGGGTACCTCAGTGTTTAGTCCTTGATGAACCAAGTCTTCAATGATTGCGATGGTGTCAGGTACAGGAACCTTGGTGAATAAGGAAACTACATCAAAACTGACAAGCAGGTCGTCTGGGGACAGGGAAACACCCCTGATTGTCGATACCAGGTGAGTAGAATTTTGCACCGCAGAGGTGGTTTTTCCAGTGAAAGGACGCAGGATTTCAGCCAAAAAACGAGCCAGTTTGTAGGTAGGGGAGTTGATAGTAGAGACGATGGGACGAAGGGGTGTATCTACTTTATGTATTTTTGGTAAGCAGTATAATCTTGGTGGCCTGGTAGCAGAAGGTTTCAACGAAAACTGTTTAGATTGATCAATTAATGCGGTTGAATCAGAAATTATTTTGTTGGTTTGTGTGACGAGGCTGTTGGTGGGATCTCTTTTTATTTTTGTATAACTACCATCGTCGAGTAATTCTTTAATTTTGTTGTTGTATTCTATTTTATCCATGATGACAGTAGCATTGCCCTTGTCAGCTGAAAGGACTACAATATCATCCCTCTTTTTTAATTTATATAATTCAAAACGCTCATCTTTGCTGAGGCTGCTAGCTGGCATCTTAGCATTTAAATCAAAATTTGTTACCACTAGCTCAGTGTTAACACTATCTAACTGTTACCACTGTCTCAGTGTTAACACTATCTAACTGTTACCACTGTCTCAGTGTTAACACTATCTAACTGTTACCACTGTCACAGTGTTAACACTATCTAACTGTTACCACTGTCCAAGTG